TCACACACTTACACTCACACACTTACACTCACACACGCTCACACACACACGCTCACACACACACGCTCACACACACACACACACACTTACACACATACACACACACACACACACACATACACACACACACACACACACACACACACACACACACACACACACACACACACACACACACACACACACACACACACACACACACACACACACACACACACACATACACACACACACACACACACACACACACACACACACACACACACACACACACACACACACACACACACACACACACACATACACACACACACACACACACACACACACACACACACATACACACACACACACACACACACACACACACACACACACACACACACACACACACACACACACACACACACACACACACACACACACACACACACACACACACACACACACACACACACACACACACACACACACACACACACACACACACACACACACACACACACACACACACACACACACACACACACACACAGTAGTTATTTTAAGTTTAGATTTTATTTTATTTTTATTATAATTTGTCTACCATATTTATGATTTTTTTTTTTTTTCATATTCATCCCTTAACCCACTCACATTGGTGTAATGGAATATCTTGTCATGGCAGGATTGCCTGATATGCTGGTGATGTCCTATCATGTTGTGTGCAGTCCACCCTGCTCAAAGTTGTGTACCCTAAACAGTTGTTCTCTTGTTTGGCCCTTTCTGTGGCTGTTAGGGGAAGCAGCCCCTCAAAAGTAGGCTTGAAGTCTCTTTTAGTCTCATTACTTATACATTATTTATGCCACAGCCAAGAGCATAGAGAGCAGGTTAACCCACTCACCCCGTGTAAAAAAGTTTGACAAGTGAACATGATCGCGGAATTGTTGGTGCGCATCGACAGTTTCCCCTGTTTGGGCCCTGCTCATTTGGTAGTTTGTGAGCGACATTCTGCACGTAAAAGCTTTTATTTTTCTATAATTTATAATGATATTATAAAAGATTTACCTTCAATTTAGGTACTATTGCCTAAAATCTTTACCGTATAAATGAAGCTGCTGCTATCGGAGAAAAACAAACTCTGTCCAATGAGCCTATGGCGTGGGAATGGTCGTGATACTGTGCCATCTGCTTTTCTGCCCACAACAGCCATGGCATGTATGTACATGCCACCTGGTGACATTGGCTCTGTGCACACCCCAATGTGTATTGTTTGGTATGGCATAATCTTTTGTTGTGAGTGGGTTAGAATGGATTTGAAACTATACATATATAGTTTTAAAAGTTTGCGGATACTTCTATAATGTTTTGGGTATATTACAGTCTCTGTAGTATATATGGGAATTGTAAGACTCCTTTTTTTATGTTCTTTTCCAATGAATATTTGAAATTTTACCACAGCCGCAACTTCTTTTAACATTACAGACAGGGTCATGTTTGTTGTAATTGGAAATTAATTTTGTTATCATTATTTATTTGAAATATATTCTGGATTATCTGGTACAAGTCATTAATTAACTAACTTGGGAGCATTCTCTGTAACCATAAGTATCTCTAACCCAATACTGCCAGATATGGCATGTTCATACGCGCCAGACACACTGTAAGTTTAACTAAATTACCCCCTACAATGTGGATGATGTTATGGTCATATCATGGAAAAATCTGGATCAAGGACCAGGTGACATGAACATACTGTCATTGTACAAAATGGCCACAGGCTGGGTGATATGAACTTGTTGTTATGAGCGAAGGCCAGGGTGACGGAAAGGACTCACCACGAGTGCGCATACCTCTTAGAGTGTGATGTGACTCCTTTGGTGCTTAGAAGGGGGCTTTGGCATTATTCCCATCAATAAATAAATGTCGAATATAAGATGCATAAGCAGTGCCTGGAAGAATGCTGGCTCCAGGGAGGATACCATTTCCATGCTGCACATTGTATTCCTGGCTGATGTAATCAGTGGTGTAGGTTGTATTAAGAAATATTGAAAATTTGTATTAAAAAAAAAATAAACAAGGGAACAAATAAATAAATGTTCCTTTTTTTTTTTTTTTTTTTTCTTCCACTGAGTTATTTACTACATAGAATGATGATATGTGCAAGGAAAATAAGCTATTACCATCTGGATAAAACAAATAAAAGACAAATATGGACATTGGAAAATGGGAAAAAAAACTATAAAAGTTTATACATAATTACTTTGCAAAGGGGAGGCACAGGGTTTGTCACTGCTCCTGGCTGTTCATGCAGGCCTGGCCTACGCACCACACACACAGGATGTTGGCTACATACACAACCCACTGCACATATAATCAGCACCATGATTTCTGTGACACAACCGGATCCAAGGGGGTAATTCATTTTACACATAGATGGTTACACAAGTACTAAGTCACCAATGATCCAATTATGACTACTACCTGACTCATCTCTTTACCCTATTCCTTGATTTTTTAAATCATTTTCTGGTATCTTATATTGCTGTTAGAAATGTCAGTTACTCTATAATGATTTCAACGAATATAATGAAAACAATAACAGTGATATTGATAGCATTGGTAGTAAATACATTTTTCCTGCAAACAATGAAAGGTAATAACAGCAATATAAAATACCAGAAAATTATTTCCAGAAACCAAGGAAGAGGGTCAATGGATGAGATGGGTAGTACTCGTAATTGGAGCATTGGTGACATACTACTTGTGGACCCATCTATGTGTAAAGACAATAAATTAATTAAACTCACAGTGGGCATGGCACGTCTGTATATGTCATCCCTAGCAGCATCTGGTTAACCTTGTTATGCTCCCAATAATCCTAATGGGTAGCATCAGTAATTGGGAATTTTGTTGTATTGGATCTACTCCTCTCTTATCTTCTACCTCATCTTATACTCTGGTTTTTATTCTTGTGTATGCAAGTATTATAAAAAAAAAAAAAAAAAAAAAGTGAAATGTGACTTTGTGTGTTCATTCTATTTATATTTCTGTGTGTATTTATATATGGTTAGTATTATTATTTATATTTTAAATTAAATTTTTGTGTGTTGCATTCTTAAACTCTTGTGTTTCCATGTTATCTGCATGTCAATCATTGGTGGTGTATCGGCACAGATGTTTGTGGTACGCCAGGTTACTTGGCTCCAGAAGTCCTTCGCGTTGCCATGTTTGAGGGCTCTCCAGGATACTGGTGTGCCGTTGATCTGTGAGTTTTATGTGGACTAGCAATTTTTATTATTTAAATTATTATTTTTTTTAATGACCCGGTTTTCTTTTGTTTCTTTTGTTTTGTATTTTACTTATCGTCATATTTTGTGAAATATCTGTTTTAGGAAGTATGTTACTTTCTTGTAATTTTTATATGATTATAGCTCTATCATCTGTATTGTGATTTTTAGCTGAATTTGATAGCTTTTGACTTTTTCTTTTCAGTATTTGATGTATTCAGTAGAAGACTAAGGTAGAATGTTGTGTAATGAGAAGATTATTTGTCCTAATTTTTCTGTAGTTTTCAGATGAGTTGACAAACTCTGAAGCTCGATCTAATTGCAGTTATTGTTGCTTTTTTATTGGTATTTTTACTAACTTATGTCACACTTGCATGCACTATTTTTAAACACAAGCACACCTACATACATATGCACACACATTCACATATACACACATGCATCATTGCCCACTGCTTATACCCTTATTTCATAACCTTCAAAAACAAGCTTGCTGTTGTGCAGAGAACCTTAACAACAGTTAGATTTTGAGGAAGATCTTTCTTGCTTACCTTTAGGTAATGTTTTTTAATGAAAAAATAACAAGAACTATTTATGATAACTGAGAAAGATCTCAAAGAATACTAAATAATGTGATCCAATTTTGCTTACCTATTATATATGTATGTATAGATATGAATATAGATATAGATACAGACAGTATATTATAAATATAATATATGCATTATTTATATATATATATATATATATATATATATATATATATATATATATATATATATAATATATATATATATATAATATATATATATATATATATTATATATATGTATATTATTATATATATATATATATATATATATATATATATATATATATATATATATATATTTATATTTATATTTATATTTATATTTATGTTTATACATATCCTAGTATAGAGTGATAGGTAGGTTCAGCAAGTATGTATTAGATTTTCTTTCATGGACTTCAGAATGACACCAATATATTCAGACATTTTACCTTCATACTGATATTAGTTATTAGATATAGTTTAGGTCTTTAGCTAATGTCAGAAGTTATGTAGAGAAGATATATGTGAGTATATTTATATATTTTCAGATTTTATAATACATATATATTATAATACATTTCAATGAAGTGGATGTACTAAAGATCTTTCTGTTGTTATTCTTGATAGATCTGAGATCATGTTAATAGATTTGAGATAATCTTGTGTGATTACAATATCTTCGAGGTTAGTGCTTTTTCAGCGCTTGGGATCAATTTGATTGCTTATTAAGCTGTTTACAGTGCTTCATTGACCAGCTTTGTTGCTTATGAATATTATGTTAATTTCAACTTTATATGTGGTGCAGTAACTGTACTATTTTGTTTAAGAGTACAAGGTTTAGCTAGGATATCAGAATTGTTTTATTTAATCATATTCCCTTTCACAAGTAAATATAAGCTAATTAGATCATGCCAACAATCTTAGAAACACTTTGGTAACAGTTTTTCATTTTTGATTTTAAGCAACCAAGTGAGTGAGTGACAGAGTGAGAAATTTAGGAAGTACGTTATTATAGAAGAGAAAAAATGAGGGAGTGAGTGAGTGCTTATATGAGCAGTGATATAATGGATCTTAGTATTGTTTCTCTTATCATGATTAATACAACTAATGTATAAAAGAAAACCATAACGTATACTAATAAATTTTTTGTGTTGCAGATGGGCTTGTGGTGTCATAATGTACACTCTGTAAGTGGAATATTCTTTTTAAGTTTGTTACTTACTGCAAAGCTTTAAGACAGTTGGTAGTTATGTTTCTCTTTTTTTTTTCTTAAGGTAGACAAAAAAGTAATAAGACATTCTGCATATTTTTCAGTATATACATACATACACGTATATGAATATGTATACGTATGTTTATGTATACGTATGCGTATATATGTATATATACATATATATGCATATATATGTATGTGTGTGCATATGTATGTATACATATGTATATATATGTTAATTTATGTGTATATATGTTGATGTATGTGTATATATATATTTGCATATTTATATATAGGTATGCGTGTATATATAGGTATGCGTATGTATATATACGTATGTAATTATATGTATAGTATTGTTTTATATGTATTTGTATATGTATATGTACATATATACATATGTGTGTGCATATATATGTATATATACACATGTGTGTGTAAATATGTATTTATAAATACGTGTATACATGTGCATAAATAATATGAACACATGAAGAGCTGTTCAGCATGACTAGCATATATGTGCCTTGTACCTTACAGCTTGGTTGGTTGTCCACCATTCTGGCATCGAAAACAGATGGTGATGATTCGTAATATAATGGAAGGGAAGTATTCCTTCCAGTCTCCTGAATGGGATGATATCACAGGTATTGTGCATCCTTTGCTTTCATTCCAAGGTCTAGATTATAGGAAGTTGACTCCAAATCCATAATATTTCCTTTAGTCTTAATTTGATTTTATCAGTATCTTTAAGGCATTTTAGTATATGAAGTCTCATTTATTTTACTGAATTTATTTTATTTTATTTATATTTTTATTAATTTTGTTTTCTATAAAGAAAAAAGAAAAAGAAAGAAAATATATATATACAATATACATATGTATATACATCTGTATTCATATATATATTCATATATTCATATATATATATATATATATGATTTAGAGAATAATTTTTCTGATACTTACTTTACTGTCATAGAAAATAATGAGAGAAAAATTGTGCATTCAGTTACTTTCTATATTTCATTCAGTTCTTCAGAATGTAAAATGCTGCCTCATTTCAGATACTCCAAAGGACCTCATATCGATAACGCTGGTGGTGGGGATTACTCCGTCGGGATGTTCGCCCCGCCTGGACTCCGTGGGTTTCTGGTCTCTCTCTCTCTCTCCTCTCTCTCTCTCTCTCTCCTCTCACTCTCTCACTCTCTCTCTTCTCACTCTCACTCTCACTCTCTCTCTCTCTCACTCTCACTCTCTCTCTCTCTCTCTCTCTCTCTCTCTCTCTCTCTCTCTCTCTCTCTCTCTCTCTTCTCTCTCTCTCTCTCTCTCTCTCTCTCTCTCCTCTCTCTCTCTCTCTCTCTCTCTCTCTCTCTCTCTCTCTCTCTCTCTCTCTCTCTCTCTCTCTCTCTCTCTCTTCTCTCTCTCTCTCTCTCTCTCTCTCTCTCTCTCTCTCTCTCTCTCTCTCTCTCTCTCTCTCTCTCTCTCTCTCTCTCTCTCTCTCTCTCTCTCTCTCTCTCTCTCTCTTCTCTCTCTCTCTCTCTCTCTCTCTCTCTCTCTCTCTCTCTCTTCTCTCTCACTCTCTCTCTCTCTCTCTCTCTCTCTCTCTTCTCTTCTCTCTCTCTCTCTCTCTCTCTCTTCTCTCTCTCTCTCTCTCTCTCTCTCTCTCTCTCTCTCTCTCTTCTCTCTCTCTTTCTCTTTCTTCTCTTTCTTCTTTCTCTCTTTCTTTCTTTTCCTCCCTGACTCCGTCTCAGCTAAGGAGATAGAGATCCTGAAAGCCAGAATTATCCTGTGCTTGAATTTTTATCTTCCAGTCAGCCCAAGCTACATTGTCGATGGCTTATCTTGTAAGAGCAGCCTCTGAAAGAATTGTTGTATTGGGAATTTAGTCTTTTGTATGTCATGATTTGAATTTTTCCCTCTTGCCCCTTGATTCTTGCATGTCATTTTTCATTTGATTTTTAAAGCAAGTGGATGGTTATGCCAAATTGATTTGAATTTTTTCTTGAAAGATTGATTGGGAACCTGCTACAAGATATGTTATCAACAGCTATTTTTTGTTATTATTTTTTGAAAACAAATTGTCTTTTTTTTAATTAATCTTGCAAGTCATACATGCTTTTCATGTTTTCAAAGAGGACATATAGCCATTGTTGATATCAAGTGCTTTCAAAGCCTCATTTAATAATATGTTCCTATAATAACATTGCTTATTTATTGTAAAAGCTATTTCAATTAAGGACAGAGTGTATTTTACGATTCCCTCTATAACTGTAATACAGTATAGTTGATTTCATATTCAGTGCGTGTTTAGTACAGATACACACACACACACACACACACACACACACACACACACACACACACACACACACACACACACACACACACACACACACACACACCACACACACACACACACACACACACACACACACAAATAGATAGACACACATCCATACAAACAGACACACACACCCACGCAAACAGACTCACACCCACATGCACAAAAACACACACAGAAACACACACACGCACAGAAACACACAAACGCACAAAAACACACACACTCAGAAACACACACATGCTCAGAAACACACACACATGCTCAGAAACACACACATGATGCTCAGAAACACACAGACACAGAAACACACACACATGCACACAGAAGCACACACACGCAAAGAAACACACACACGCTCAGAAACACACATACGCACACACACACACACAGAAACACATACACAAAAGCACACACACAAGCACAGAAACACACACACGCACAGAAACACACACACACGCACAGAAACACACACACACACACACACGCACAGAAACACACACACACATGCACAGAAACGCACAGAAACACACACACACGCACAGAAACACACACACACACGACACACACACACACGCACAGAAACACACACACACGCACACACACACACGCACAGAAAACACACACACAGAAACACACACACACGCACAGAAACACACACACACGCACAGAAACACACACACATGCACAGAAACACACACACACACACGCACAGAAATAACACACACACACACACACACACACACACACACACACACACACACACACACACACACACACACACACACACACACACACACACACACACACAACACACACACACACACACACAGAAACACACACACACACACAGAAAACACACACACACACACACACACACAAACACACACACACACACACACACACACACACACACACACACACACACACACACACACACACACACACACACACACACACACACACACACACACACACACACACACACACACACACACACACACACAGTATGTATATTGCACGTAAATGCTATGTACATCCAAATATGTATGGGCTCATAAAACTTCATACCTGTTTGATTGGATAGGGTACATACTTGAGGCTTTTATGCTTAATGAAAGATCAGATAACTTATATGACTCTGGAGGTGAACCTTGGCATAATTCCATATCAACAAATGAATAACAGTAAATTTAGGAATGCTGTATTTAAGCAAAAGGATCAGTAAGATAATTAAATCTTAATACTTCAGAATATGTAGCATCTTCCTTTTACATATTTAAGAAAATAAATGATAAGTGGTGTGGTAGAGGCTGCAATACAGTGATCACTGTAAGTTAGAATTTTAATATTATTAGTAGAATTAAAGTAATGCATCTTTTTATTGTTATAGAATTCTCAAGCATTTATTTTGATTCATGATGTTTATTTTCTTATATAATTTAACATCTATAATGCATTGACCTTTTTCTCATAAAAGGATCTTTCATATTTAAGGCAAAAAGGTTCTAGTAGTTTTCATTCTAAATGTTTGTGTTTGATTTTAGTGAAATTTCATTATCTATTATTGATTCTTATTTGATAGGCAAATATGTGTATACAGTATTTATTTTATTTATTTATTTTTTTTTTTTCTTTTCTTCCCTTCTTAACAACTGTAATAATAAGAGAGAGATGCATCATAGAAATTATGTTTACTTGCCATACTGAGTTTGAAACTTCACACCTTTTGAATTTTTTTTCTTTTCTTAAAATTATTAGTTCTTTTTTGTATTTATTTATTTATACAATGCAGATATCCTGTATGTGAAATGACCTTTGCTGATATACGAAGCAAATAAGAAAGAAAATAAGCCTGAGAAAATACAGGCAGCAAAGTTTTTCCAGTCAAAGTCATTGCTAGAGTAGCTATTACATGCCTTAACATGAAACCCAAAACCATTTGCCATAATTTATTTTTTTATTTTTTTGCTTTGTTTCTCCCTAACCTTTGTTATATGGGTTGTTTGAATATCTATGCCTTCATAATGCTTCGTTTATGTGCATGGTCCTTTTTTTGTAGCGTCTCATTTTACTCGCGTCTTCTAGCCTAGCCGGAGTCAAATTATTGGGGTCACTCTGGTGGAAAAGGTGAGTCTAGAAACCCTGTTTTTATTTTCCTTTTTTGATATTCATTTAGTTTTGATATTCATTTACATGTGTTCTCATCATTCATTTGAATGAAACAGTAGATTTATTATGGTTATTTTCATTATCATGCATGCTTTACTTTTCTTTCTCTTTTTTTCTTTTTTATGCAGAAGGGTTCCTATTTTTTCTTTTAATATTTCCTTTTCAAGCAAATTATGGTTTTATATGATTACCTTTTCACTTTATTCTTTATTGTATTGTTTGTAGAAATCGTGTTTATGATTTTGATATAGAAATAGCTCATTGGTGTGAATAAGATAAGTTTGCTGCATCAGATGTCAGGATGATTTGTAATATTAATGACCATGATGATCCCTTCAGCAATACAAAGGCCGTCCGTTCAATGCCAAGAAGATGTTCCAGTTTGGCATTATGTGTGTACGTGCAGTGATCCGTATCCAAAGACTTCGTTTTACGCCCGAACCTGTATCTCTTGCCGTCACCCGGGTCGATCCATATAGGATTAAAGCTCTGCGCAAGGTACAGTACATTAGTATAGGGTTAGGTTTTGATGATCTTAGTATATAATTAAGGATTTTTCTTTCAGATTCCCTCCTCTACCATTCCCTATTTTGAATTGTATAAATTAGGACAGTGGTTTAAAGATATATACTGGAATTAAAAAGAAAATCATAAATTAGATTCTGGGCTATATTTCTTGGAGATGCTAGGCATACTAATTGACTTTGGTATGCTGTTATACAGGTTATTGATAACTGCGCCTTCCGTGTTTATGGCCACTGGGTGAAGAAAGGAGAGGGTCAAGACCGTGCTGCACTTTTCCAAAACTACCCCAAGCTTGATTTTCCACGCAGTCCAATGGAAGCGCCCCTCATTGTTGGCCAGTCATAAAAGGAAAACATGTTATGTCAAAGATTATCACTTTTGTAGTGTATATTTTATCTTGTCCTTTCCTTTGAAAACCCTTGATGGTAGTAGATCAGAAATTTTACCTAGACAAAGAAAAAGTTTTCTTCATATGCAAAACATTTTTTGCTTTTAGCTCTTGAGAAATTACTTTTGATTGTTTTTAATGACTGCAGATGTGGCTCTTGGCTCTTTTGTATGTCAGAGATTTTACAAACAGAATACTGGTGATGTTAACCTTCTGTCAAGCCTTTATTTAGGAACCAGATGAATTTTAAACTCTCTTTTTTTTAAATGTCTTCCTCAAAAGTAAGGCAGTAGCACAAGCATCAATAACACTTACATGATTTTCGCAATGTGGTTTATCAAAGGAATGAATTATATTATTATCATTATCATTATATATATATATATATATATATATATATATATATATATATATATATATATATATATATATATATATATATATATATATATACACATGCATATATATACACACACACAGTTACATGTGCATTAAGCATGAAAATAGGAAAATGATTCTCGTATGATTGGAAAAGTAAAAAAAGAACAAGTATAGAAAGTAAAAGGCAGTTTGTAAAATTTGTTCATGACAGCAATAATGATCTATTGTGATCAATTTTAAAAATAATGATTTTTATTTTATAGGAATTGTTTGAGTTGTAAGTGAAAAAAAAAATACCCAAGGTGTAAGGATGTCTATGCAAAACTTCATTTTTTGAATTTTGATACAGCAATGCTAATTTGGTTCATTTTATTGTATTGTTGTACATAATATACAATATAGGGCATTGCCTTTTGTCTTTTTGGAAAAACTGCAAGATTTGTGATGGCATTTGGACAACAACATTGATCAGTCTTTTATGTTATTTTGAGACATACTCTTACCTCTGCTCTTGAAGTGTTACTTTACTCTTTAGGTTATTGTTACTGAATGTTATTATCATTATTATCTATGTATTTTGGCTAAAGATTATTAGATTATTAATGGTTGATTTTTAAAAGGAGAATTCCAGGAAAACTTTTTTTTCCATTTCTATAAATTCTTTTTTAATTATGTAACAGTAGTAACATGATTAGTCTGTCTTTACATTTCTTAGATTGTATATTTTTCACAGCATATTGTTGATAGTTCTATCCAATAATCTACCTAATTCATGAATATAAAGTTCCATTTAAGGTTTCTGTTTAGAAAGCTAGAAAATCAAATGGTTTTGTAATGTTACTGTAATGTTGTTGAGTGAGTTTGATGCTCTTTTACCTAGATGTATTTTAAGATTTTATTGATCATTTAGTATTATTATTATTTGAATGTTAGTTAGAAACAAACAGGTTTTTTGTCATCTTCTGCTTGTATTGACTAAAACTTTTTTCTCCTATTTCTTATTTATAATTTGTCATCTTATTTTATTTCAATGGCACAAAGGAATCCAGTCATATTTTAATTTATGTTATCACATTCCTTGCCTCACACATTTAAGATTTAAGGAAAGTTGAAGCTTCATCCTTACCCATCCTTATCTTGCTTCTCTCCCTATTACCCCCCTTTGCTCCCTTTTTTGTCATTAAATAATGATAAGCTTTATTTATTAGTAATCTAAATAAGTGTTTTACATTTTAAGAACATGCCTGAAAGCCATGATTTTATTTTTAGTATTATAATTTTAGAACTGTGGTCATAGTATTGATTTCCATAGATAAGCAGGATCCATTATGCTTCACGCAGAATGATGTCTTTGTGCAGTTTCACTTTCACAAACTTTCTTAAGTGAACATTATTGAATAATGTGTGCATAATCACATCTTTCTCTCCAGTGAGAGTAAGTGCTAAATGAAAGTTACAATAATACAAAGACCTGCATTGCATGGACAAGAATATTGAATTAATGATAATTGTTTAGACATGATTTACTCTGAATTGATTAAGAGTTTTTTATTGATGAAAGTGACAGTGCATATTTTGAAAATAAATGTTGTGATTGACAACAATCATCTACATATTTGATTATATATAGGATGATTTACATTTTTGACAAGGATTTGCATAATATGATTTCTGAGAATTTCATTTAAGGAGAAAATGTACTACCACTTAGATTTATGTTATTGTCATTATTTATGTTAATATTAATATTATTTTTATCATTGTTATTATTATAAACATTATTATTATCATTATTATTATTATTATTCATTATTACTATCATTAGTACCATCACTGTTATGGTTATCATTTTTATATTTTAGACTTGAATGTATGTGATAGTATTAAGAATACTAAATGTGTTATGCAACATTATAATACTATGAGTAGGTCTCTGCAATTGTTTCCATGATTTGATATTTTTACAAAAAAAGCATTTTGCATTTGGCTATTAGTGTCAGTAAAAAGATGAATAAAAAAATAGATCAGTGAATGCTTCTTATAATGTTTCACACTTCACAGTATGCACAAACTTTTCAGGGAATGCATGCTTTAAGTAAGGACAGGCAGTAGTGATGCAAAAAATAAAGCTACAGGATTTGTTTACCAAAGGGCAGAAGTGCAGATGTTTTCATTATTTAAGACAGTGGAGATTGAAAACTTGAAACCATGTTGAATGGTCTCCCACATTTTGTTTAATATGTATATAGAATCTCATATAAGATTGTTCTGCAGTAGATGTTCCAGCTGATTGAGAAAATGTTGTCTTCTGTTTATTGCAACATTTATAATTTTTGCATTTTTAATCTCAATTATTATGAATATCAGTACGTATATCATATGGCAATAAGACTTTCATGTTCATTATCATAATCATCATTATTGTTATTATTATCATGTTACTATTATCATGATTATCAATATTATCATTGTTAGTATTATTATTGCAACTAAAATTGTCATAATTACTTTGACTAATATTAGAAATATTATTTTGCTCACTGATGTAGAATTTTCATCACTATTACTTTATTGCAACATATTAATTTGTTTTAATTTTATGATTACTACACTACTGCAGGAAGAACTATGATTATTGGAATGACTATGAATGTATCAGTATTTTCTGAGTCAATGATATTCTAGTCCCTTATTAAAGATCATCTTCAGATGATTGTTTGTGATTTTAATAAACATACTCCGTGTGACTGTGTTTCCTTAACTTTTTCATCGAATATATTTACTGTGTGCAATATATATGAATAGATAAGTAGGTCACACACCTGGACACACTGGTATAATTTGGCAGTTTTCTATGGGTAATGGAAGAGGAGGAAAATCTTGAGGCAAATCCTCATATGATGAGACATCAAGAGCAGGAGGCAGTGGGAGCTCTGATGTGTACTGTTCCATGGCACTGAATTTAGGAGATAAGGACTGAGACCCAATGCAGGGATCTTCCCTACCTTGGCCTTATCCCTCGACTCAACTAATTTTGCATGGTATTTTCTCCCCCTGCTCTTTCGTTTCCTTTCCTTCTCCAACTCCTTCTACTGTCTACTTCCTAAAGTGTAATAATCGTGCTGAAAGGATAAAATGCTGACTTTGTGCCAGTCCTAAATGGCCAGAGTGAACCATGCTCACGGTATTCCCCTCTTTTCATTATCTAGAGCTTACCCCTCAAGGGGCTGTTTATTTCCCCAACATAGTCTAGGCTTCCCATGGCCAGTAATGAAGACGTAATACCCTTACTAGAGGCAGTGAGGCTTGTCCCTTCATCAAATAGCCCCACTAATTCAAACTCTCCCAGTTCCCCGACCCCAGATTCTGCTTTGATCATGACTCTGAACACTGCATCTAATACCCACCCCTCATTGCTTACTAGTACATTATCCACCCAAATCGAGACTCAGTCTCCAGAAGGCATTCCTACTCTCCTAACTTCCTCAACTTCACCACCTCTACCCCCACAACCTTCATCAATCACCCCATCCTCCTTTATTACTAATTTACAGCCTTATTCTCCATCTCTCCGTAATACTAACCCCTCAATAATATTCCCTCTTCCACATGTCCCCGTCCTTCTACCATCCCAGGCTCTACAAATATCATAAATACTATATTTAGCCCAGCCAAATGGGACCGATTTTTCGTGATCCCCTTACAGCTCCTTATTCGGGCTACACTATTCTCAATGTCTCATTACAGTTGCATCTGAAACTGAAGCTATAGCATTATCAAATTTAACTGATCTCTCTGGCAACCCTATTCCTGCAGAACCTCATCCAACTCTTAATACTTGTACCGGAACTGTCTCTTTATCTCCAGCAAACTGTCCAATGGATATTGATTGGTTAGATTGTGGAGAATACTTACCCACCTGCCTCAAAGACCATGATGTGATACCAGTACAGTGCTACTCTATTCCTCCTAGAGCTCATCGAAAGAACTCCACCAACATTGCCAAAATTACTTTCCGTAGACATGATCTTCCCTTTCATATCTACATTGGTGGGCAATCCATCCCTGTTCGACCATACCAACCTCATCATCAATGTCAAAACTGTTGGCGCTTCGGACATCCTGTCAAACACTACCATTCCACAGCCCGATGCCTTCTATGTGCCCAACCCGGTCATAACCGATGAAATTGCTCTGCATAAACATGCACATGTGCTAACTGCAGCGGCCCCCATAATGTATTTTATAGAGGCTGCTCCATTTACAAGTCTGAGTCTGAGGTGGCAACTCTCAGATACAAACTTGGGTCTCACTCTGCATGAAGCCAAACAGGAAGCACGTCGACAAGGTTTCTCTCATACTAATGTCGCTCGCTTTGCCTCTCCCTCTCCATCCAGAGATGTTCCTACACCTTCCCTTATGCCTGCTTACTTCCCCACTTCCACTCCTACCTCATACCTTCCCTAGTCAAATTATTTTGCCACTCTAAATCCAGACACTCCAATCTCAAGTACAGCCCCAAATCCATCCCCTCCCTCTCCGCACTACCCGCAACAGACAGATTAAACGTTCCACTCCTTCTCCTACCACCTACTCACCTCCACCTACCTTTGCCCTTACTCCTCAGACACGAGTCTCCTCTTCCCCTCCTCAAAAGAAAACCTTTGTCTCACAAAACTCTCCAACCAACTCCACTGCAGAAACTATGGAAGATATTCAAAGCTATATGCTCGAGACGCAAAATTCCACAACTCATACTCCTTCCACACTCGAAGTAACTGCCGATATCCATCCTCCCCGAACTCATATTCCCCCTACACCCCTTCCTCCTACTCCCTCCCAACACAACCCTTCCCCCTCAACTCCAACTACTACCGATACCCATCCTCCTCCTCCTACCCATATTTCCCCTACACCACTTCCTCCTACTCACATTACGTAATTGGTGATTTTAACTACCGCCACACTCTTTGGGGTGATTCTATCACCACCTACATCCCCAGAATGCTTCCTCTCCACAAATGACCTTATTCTTAATTCAGATTGCCCCACACACTTTAATATACGCACGCAATCTTTTTTCAGTGCCTTGACCGTTCTCTGTGCTCACCTTCTCTCCATTTAGATATCCATAGGCCAATTCTAGACCACTTGCCATTACTCCTTTCTCCTACTTCATATGTACCACTTCTTAATCCCCCACGTTGGTGCTTCTCATCCATTTCAGATATGCTACAATGTTTCACAGCGACAATCCTAAGAGCTGCCTATACAGCCATTCCTCAAACCTCAAGACCATGTATCTCCAAGTGTGTTTCGTGCTGGATTCCGATTGCATCAAAGCGCTTCGCTTAAAACGTGCAGCCTGGGACAGTTATTGCTACACACGAGGCATCCCTAATCAGCTATCAGCCCTTATCTCCTTTAAAAGAGCATCCGCCTGTTTTCATTGTGCAACCCAGAACAGTAAAACAAATAGCTGGCGAAATTATGCTTCCTCAATGACATCTACATCTGTTTCAACTGTTCGTTGTCGAATCCATAAACTATCAGGTAAACAACTCCAATCCAGCCCCCATCCTCCATATACGAAATACTCTCATCTCTGATCCTATCCAAGTCGTTAATGAATTGAGTCACTATTTCAATCAGGTCAGTAGTGGCTCTCACCTTTCCCCATACTTCTCTTCCATTAAGACCATAAGAGAATGCACCCCCATCATCTCCACCCTAACCTCTGGTGAGTCCTATAATGCTCCCTTTTCTTCCTCTGAACTCAGTCCTGCTTTACAGTCATGTTGCAACACTCATGAAGGCCATGACGGTATTCACTACCATATGCTCCGACACCTTCCATCTTCAGGATTACCGCCCCATCACTCAAACTAGCTGCTTCTGCAAACTAATAGAACGAATGGTTAACTTCCACTTAATGTGATATCTTGCATCTCACAATCTTCTCTCTCCTTCCCAGTTTGATTTCTGCTGTGCCCGAAGTCCAGCACACCCTCTTGCCCATTTTAAGACATTACATCTGCATTTGCAGATGTAATGAATCCGTATTAACCATTTTCTTTGACCTAGAAAAAACGCGATACCACATGGCGGTCCCATAGTCTCCAATAATTGTCCACCCTTGGCATACGTGGAAACATGGGTGTTTTCATAAAGTCTTTCCTGTCCAAACATACTTTCCAGGTCAAAATTGTCTCTTCCACATCATCTTCCTTTCCTCAGTTCGAAGGCGTCCCAGAAGTCAGTGTGCTCAGCACCACTTTATTCATTCTTGCTGTTAGTGACATTGTTTCAGTTCTACCACCAGGAGCCCGGTCATCACTATATGTTGATTTAATCATCTATGCCTCTGGCACATCCATACTAAATCTCCGCCATTTCCTTCAGTCTGCAATATCATCAGTATCTTCCTGGCCACTAACCATGACTTTCACTTTTCTACCTCCAAATTTATCTCCATCCTTTTCTCTCACGCACGTGTAGGTCCCCAACCTCCATTCATCTTATATGGCGCTCCACTCCAATACCATTACTCAGACAAATTCCTTAGCGTTATTTTTGACTCCAAACTGTCCTGGCGAGACCATATCTTTTACATTAAAGAAAATATCTCAACATCACATCCAAATCTTACAAACTTTCCCACATAGCCTTGAGCTCATATCGCAAAACTCTCCTCCATTTTTGTTACCTTGATCCTTTCCACTCTAGATTATGGATGCCATATCTACTCCTCTGCCTCAACCTCCCTTCTTGTTCCCCTTGATACAATCCACCACTGCGGTCTTTGCTTTACCCTAAGCGCCTTCCACTCCTCTCCAGTTGAGAGCCTGTACACTGAGTCAGGCATGCCACCTCTCTCGCGACGCTGTACCCTTCTCTCTCTCCAATGCTATGCTCGATTCCACCAACTTTCCCTCACCAAACTAACTATCATATGACCCCTCCTTCCTACCTTTGCTTCTTCTCCACATTTACATATTCCTTTCTTCATATGCACAGATACCCTCTTCTGCCATTCCCCCTTTCCCCATGGATATCCTCCTCTACCATTCCCCCTTTCCCCACCTCCGACCTCACCCGTTTTCTGTCCATTCCGTTCCTCCATGGCTTATACCTTGCCTCCATATTTGCTCCTCTGTTTTCCCTGACCTACCAAAATCAGATACCCCCCTGCCCTTCTCACCCATTTCCTTGACCAATATTCATGTTTACACTGATGGCTCCAAATCCACATCTGGAGCTGGTTTCACAGTAACCTTCCCAACTTGCACTTTCAAATATCCCCTCCCTCCTGAATCTACTGTACGCACTCCTTTTTGCATTAAAACACATATACTCACACCCTTCTTCCTCTTTCACAATTTTCACTGACTCCCGTAACTCATTAACTCTCATAAAGTCTGCACTCGACCAATCCCCTTGTCTGTAAGATGCAGAACTGGTTCTATCTGTCCAACAGGCAGATACTCTAGCAAGCTACGCCGCTATGTCCTCATCACACTAACCACACTTCTCACATATTCCTTACATTGAGCCTCAGTGTCCGTCTCCTGAGCATGCAGGGGATTGGGAGGGTGGCTCACGAAAAGATTAAAGATATTCAAGACTGAATTTGTCAGAGAGTAGTTATGGAAGAGATGGTTAAATCAACCACATACTGGGAGGATCAGATACCTGGTGGTAGTACTGAAACTAAGCTGTTAGCATCTAGAAGGAATAATGTGGTGCTAAGCACAGCACTTTATAGGAAACCTTCAAATTGAGTAAAACAGGTAAGTTCAAGAGGCAAATTGGCACGAAAGGTATGTTTGGAAGGAAACAATTTTGTGACTACACCCATGTTCCCTTGTATACCATGAGAAAATAATTGCTGGAGGATGTGGTCTTGCCCTGTGGTATCATATGCCTTTTCTAAGTCGAAGAAATGGCTAGTACAGATTCAAAAGTACTAGCAAAAGTAGATACAGTATACATTTCAAAGTGTTTGAGTGGCTCAGCTGTATTGAGGGGAGAAGAAAAGACCATGCAAAATAAGTTATGGTGAGGACTAAGTTCCAATGTAAAGGAGATTCCCAACATTGGGAATCAATCCCATCTCCTATATCCCCATGATAACAGTGGGTATGGGATTAATCTACATTTGTACAAACAAGCCTTTCTGTCCATATTCATAATAACATCTTGATTTTTTCTCTCATTTTCATATCTAATAACCATTAATGCTGCAAAGTAGAACACTAAAACAATATTGAAGGAAAAAAAACAAATGCTTTCAAAAGTTATTCTTCATTTGCAGTTATACAGCATTGTGTAAATTTGTCTGCAGATGCATTCACTCAACAGCAGACCACTATGAATAAAACCTCTTAAGAAAACTTTCTGAGTGCTTAAAGTGAACATTTGCTCTATCTTGAATAAGAACTTCAAGAAGCTTACAGTACATAATAAAGAAATATAAGACAATTTCAAATATTACTAGTATCATAATAGGCATTTAATCTTTAGATTCCTTTTTCAGTATCTCCAAGAAACTTGCTATCCTAATTATGTCTTTTTTCTTTCTCTTTTTCTAAACTTTAACAAGATCCTCTGCTATATGCTCCTTATGAGAATAAGTAACTGTTTAGTTACATGCCTACTAACAGTAAAACTTAATCATAATTTGAGATGGATATGAACGTGCAGTAGATTGCTCTGTATTGGCAGCAGTTACCTGTTGCATGCAGTGAATATTAATTATTCCAACAGTGAAGATATAAAATGCAAGCCTCCACTTCCATTTGTTCCATATCACAGAAAAATCAACTGCAGTCTCATCCAATTTACTTAAAAGCCCACAACTGTTGTATAACAAAATGTACACACCTCAATATACATATACAAAAAAAGTACAGCACACTGTATCCAGATGAAGTTTGATCAGGCAGTCAGCTGACCAAACTGCAGACCTGTAAATCTTAAGGAAGTATCTGCAGTAGAGTTAGTGACTAGCAGTTTACCAAGCAGCTGTTGAATTGGAGGTTGAGCACTTGCAAGAAGAGAAGTAAGAGAGATATAATCACAGGTCCTCACACAATACTCTGCTTTTTAAGAGTTAATAAATATTTGTGAATGTGAGTGGTGAGACAAAATATGGTGATACTAATATTATACTTATGGGCTTAAGAAATGAGAAGTTGATGCATGTCTTACAACTGGTTCCTCCTACTTTTTTTTCTTTGCCTCATTAAATGTAAACAAAAGTTGTAGAGCAAATAAACATATGATCTACTATGAAGGTCTTCACAGATTACATTAGAACTGCCCTACACTGTTGATTATAAATTAAAATACACATTCACTGGTTTCATCTACTGCAGTTTTATCGAGAATGAAATCACAAGAAACAACCTGATGTATAAAGGCAAGTTACTGTCTTAGTTTGCAATATTTGTCTCCTTCACAACTGGTAGTCTTGAAGAACAAATGGACAGTTGATTAAAGCCCTTTCCTAAAGTACAATCACAGACAAAGACCAGAAAAAAATATCAAAAGGGGGTATCTTTACCAGCTTTGAACCCTGAAGCACAAAACTAATTTTGTTTTGTCTTTTTTGGTAATACCTTTGAGAATTGAAGACCTATATTCATAATAAAGTCAACAGCTTGGAAAAATAACTAAAATAATTATTACTATTATAATTATAATTTATATTCTAAATCATTTTTTTCTTACCTAAATGATATATCCTTCTTTCTTTTACTTTTATGGTTATTTCTGCAAAGGGTATTCACCCGCCCCAAGACCAACAGACATTTCACCAGGCAGATAAACCATCTCAAGCACTCTCTTGAAGATCCACCATATAATAAGATTCACAAAATGACAAAGTCTGTTTCCATTTGTTTTTCTTACTTGTCTGAATGAGCAGAAATCCTTCCTAACCATCTTAAAATAAAGAAACAGTGACTTTTATTTGCACGACTAGTCTTTTTTCATTATTTCTTCTTCAGTTCCTCGTATCCTTGTACAATCATTTCCATACATGACTGCTATGAGCCAAAGGCAAAAGCTATATGAAAAAAATGTTTCTTCACCTACCACTTTTATATCTTTGAAAATCTGCTGCCTGATAGTTATCAATTGAATATGAGATAAATGCATGTCAATCATCTCAAAAAAGTGCTATCTTCAAGTTTTGCCCCCGTTCTCTTTATTAGCTTCCAATTTAACTTCTTTTATTTTTTACATCACTATAAACACTGATGTGTCACGTACCATCAGTTAATATAAAGTTATAAAGTATTAATTCATCCATGTAATGTTTCCAATCTGTTTCTTATCATCAGCACTCATAGCTAATGTCTAGATTCTTGTAAAGTAACTAACAGTTTTATGTATTGCGTACCATCTATATCACTTAAATACTCAGGCAACCAATGTCTTTGACGATGATAACCTCTGAGTCATCACTGGGGTTTGAGGTCGGGTCATCTGAATCATAGCTTGCTTGCTGCTGCCTCTTCCTGTCATTTGCTTGCTGTTTCCTCAACTGCTTCTTCAGCTCCTTGCGTTTGGAGTTAGACAGGTGCTGAGGGGATATGAACTTATTCAGTCATATACATGTGTCCATATTTCAAGTAAAAAAAGTTTTCAAAATTACATCTATTTTAACATAATAGAGGATTAGGAGGATTAGGATTACAAATAGGATTAGGAGGAGGAGGAAGGTGATGGATTAAGTGGATGAGGAAGATGAAAAAGATAAGAAAGAGGAGTAGGAAAGGGAGAATGATGAAAAAGAAGTGGAAGAGGAAGTGGAGAAAATGATGGAAGAAGGGAAGGAGAAAAAGAAGAATAACAAATACACAAGACAAAGATATAGAAGAAAAAGAAAAAAAAACAAAGGATAAAACTATTAAACTAATCCACCAGCACCTACAGGAAGAGGAAGAGGAAGTGGTTAAAATGAGGTGATGGAGTTAGAGGAAAAGAAGAAAATAGATAATGAAGCTAAAGAAATGGAAGAAATAAAAGGAAAAACACAAATGATAATCTATTAAACTATACCAGCAAGATCTATGGGACATTATGGGACCAAGCCATGTCCCAAGAACAACACACTTACCGGCTGTGTGCGCAAGCGCTGCTGGAGCTTCTCCTGCGCTGTCTTCTTTTGGTAACTTGGATGGATGGATGTTGGGGGGGCTATGGGAGTGGCTGCACCCTCCCCAAATATGCGAGTCCCAGTCCCATTTGGTCCCCATATGCCGTTAGTGCTAAGTGTGATTTGAGGGTTTTCCCCTGGAGGATGAAATAGTGGTAGCAGGACATAAGATGGAGGTAATATGATGAACATAATTAGCAAAAACAATATTGATATAGATTATCTATTCCTAATGATAATAATGACATGTACAGTAATAGTATCACTGATATTTCAACTACAATTAACAGTAATAAAAATCATGGGAGACTCAGCTAAAAAAAAATATATGAATAAAGCCAAACACAAAACACACCTTTCTGCTGTGAGAAAACATAGTTGAGCGTAGATTCAATGGCTTCCTCCACATCGTACTCATGGGCCTCCAGCTGAAACCTGATCAACTGCAGATCTTCACAGCCTGTCTTGTCAATGACCATTTGCTCCTCCTTGGAGAGACCTTCATACACTGGCTCTGAGTAGTCATAGCCCTCCCCTGACCAAACTGGATAGTCCTGGCCATACTCCTGGCCATACTCTTGGCAGTAGTCATCACTGTAAGACTTCTCAGGGGATTTGCTCCCATTCTTCTTTTTATCTTTGGTATCATTTGAGGATTCCTGAACCTGCAGTAGAAAGATAAATTGATGTGATTTTGTACTAATATTGGATGATGGTGCTCATACAATATATATAACTACATCCCTTGAGGAGAAGGAGAAGGAAGAGGGAGAGAAGGAAGAAGAGATTGAGGAAAATAAAAAGTGGAGGAAGAGGAGGAGGATAGTGACGAATATAAAATGATAAAGTAAACTGTACACAAATATGTCATTACTTACAGCCAACTTGATGCTTGCAGGACTGGTCGTTACATCTCCAATTCTGCGTACACTGTTGTAGTGATCACCATTATGATATGATATGTGGAGTTCTCGAATATTTTTTTTACCTTCTATTCCAGAAATCTGAAGTAAAATAAATAAGTTAAGAGTCAGACTGAATTTGAATAAATAAATATATAAACAAGAAAATAATTTTTATAATTTCAATCATAATTACTTAAACATATTAATGCATACTGGCCTAAAGTACAATGGTTAACTTAATAATTATAGGTAAAGACATGAAATATAAGCAATGACAAAGGATGATTACAGGATGTCTAAGCCTCATCACGAGTCCTACATCTGCATCCAGCAGAAGATGCAGATGAAGATATAAATTGGAGGAATGATAGTAAGACTACTAAACACAGAGAAACATATAAAGAAGTCAAACACATACATACAAAGGCATTGCATGCACATAAGTATTCACACACACAAGTATGCACACACATACCAACCCACCCACCCACATCCACACTTGAACTACTCCCCTCAACTTTTACACCCTCCCTCTACTACTAACACACAATTTGATATTTACACAAATTAGCACCCAATATATGTTCATTCCCCTTACCTGCCAGAGGGGAGCATTTAGTTGATGAATTACAATGTTAACTTCATGAAGGCGTGCAAAAGCAACAATACAGTCGTTTCCAGCATAAGTTCCAAGTTCAGCCAAGTTACTCACTGTAAGAATAAAGTGTCTTTTAATGGAATTAAAGTGCACCCAAATATAAAGTGTCTTTTAATGGAATTAAAGTGCACCCAAATATAAAGTGTCTTTTAATGGAATTAAAGTGCACCCAAATATAAAGTGTCTTTTAATGGAATTAAAGTGCACTCAAATACTTGTAGTAGATTCAAGTTTGTAAATTGCTTTAACCATTCTAATAACAATAAAAAATCTTTAAAAAATCAAGTTGTCTTGGACCCAACCCATCTTGTGGAGCCATTACATGTCTGCATATACCATTCTGGCATCAGTGGGAGTAATGAAATATTCTAAACGTGGAAATCAACAATTAGTTTTTCTTTTCTTTAGTGAAAATTAAAAATCACAATCAGTAATCCAGTATTTGCCAAAGAAAAAAGAAAAAACAGCAATTGGAAATTCATCAAAAGAACTGCTGTCTCCCTGTAAATTTGTATATCAATTCCAAGGCATCTTATTGTTAAAATGACCAGAAATAATTCAAGCTGATCTTTAAATTATATCTTTATATGCTTAAAGATATCATAAAAATTATTTCATCTTCATATCTTTGGAAAATCTTTACATCTATTACATAGAACTTCAAAATTAGAATGCACTACTTTTCTCTGACACATTTTTTTTATTTATTTATTTTGTTTTTTTGTATTAGACTGAAGCTAACAATCAATTTGGATTACTATGTTTAAATAGATATGTTGCTTAAAACCTAAATAATAAATAAAACAATGACTTACAGTGCCTATCAAACGGGACATCATCCTCAACGAAAGGCTCAAAGTCACTGCGATGCTGTCGCATGTATGCAACAACATCTTGTCTGTGTTTTTGGTGTGTGTTTGGCGTTCCATCTAGCTGATCTCCTAGTGCACGAAATAAACAGTTTCTGAAACATGAAACACTCAATTTTAGACCCTTTAAAATTATACAGCTGAAGTACTATATCATTTATAATGAATATATATAGCTTGAATAAATACAGAATCAAGGTGAAAAACAGTAAATATAAAGCATAATTTATGTATACTCTAACATATATATTTCAAGTTTAAACAAATCCTCCAAAAATAAAATAATAAAAAAACACACTAAATGTCAATTACAGTATTGTAAAATATACATTAAATATAAATGAAAAAATCAAAATATCTTCAGTGAAGACTAACCCATCTCCTGGTATTTCTCTAAGGGTTAGTCCCATGGCCACCAACTGCTGCTTCAACGAAACGAAGCTTGGGTCTTGCCCACTCTGAGAAGCACGGGCCTTCCGAGCTGCCCGCTGCGCATTTCTAATAGCTCTCTCTTCACGCTTACGTGCCATCTGCAAGGAAAGTCAAAAGAGATCTTACTATCATAGTAAATGTAAGGTAAAAAAAAAAAAAATCATGCTTAGAGTTCCTTTTTTGCAAAACTTGTATAATTCCAATTTGATTCTCATAGACTCTCCTTTTTATAAACTCCTGTGATTATCTTTATCATGAACTTTGGAGAAGTGCAGCAGTATGGAAGTGAGTGAACTGGTAAAATTGTAAGTAAATTTTCTGCTTTGTTTTTGTCAGCTTTATCTTTTAGTACATTTGCACCAAAATGATCCTTTTAAGTACTTCCACACCAACTTCGCATTATTTCTTAATTTGTTTTTTGTCTGTCTGTAAGATATTTTTGGAAGAAAGTGCACCTATTCATTGATTTACATATGAAAAACGAGAAGCAGTATGCACTGCTGATTTTATTGAAAGGGAGTGCATCTACCTATCAGGTTATTATATAAGCTGTGAAAATTATAAATATATGTTTCTCCGGGTGTACCCCAAAGGGTACACCTGGAGGAGGGTCCAATAACCCCTGGAGAATACTGTCTTCACCTCACAATGCACATCAGGATTGATCTGTTAAAACCGTATAAAAGAAGAAAGAAGAAGATTGAGCTGAATCTCGGGAGCAGCAAGTGGACTTTGCCTACGCGTTACGCTTTCTGTGACATTTTTTTGTCATTATTTGTTCATTCATACATTTGTATCTGAAACTGAAATTTTTTGTTTTCTACAAGAATACAATCTTTAATTTGCCCTAGCTAGGTACACCCATACCATAAAGATTAACCATGTTTTTCACTTCATTTACATAAGAATCATACAATCTGATTGAAAAGTAATATGGTTAAATAATTAATGCAGAGATGAAATGAAACATAGCCAATGTAATGAAGGATTAATCAGCTGTAACACTTCCACTCAGTTCAGTCTCATCAGTTAGGAAGGCCAAAATTAGTAACAGAAATTCTCACAAGTATGATGAGACCATAGGAAAGAAGAATCAAATCAGATCACAGGATATGAACCAATGTCAAATAACCATGGAAAGTTTACCCATCAGAACTAGGGTATGGTAATCAAAAGCCAAGCTAAAACCAAACAAAAATTTAGCCAAGAATAAAAGGACTATAGAAACAAGCATCAAATCAGGCCCAGAGGTAGTCACCAAGACTTAACTATCTTCTGAAAGCTTTATCCAATAAATCTGAGGTAAGGTTATAAAGTCAAAGATCAGCACTTGGGTAAAATTGTATATCTATTTTAACAAAATAGATTCTACTATTGTTGCCATCTAGTCTAACACAGCTTATCACTCTATTATCATGGCTATTTCAATTCAGCTGTTTGTGTAAATTACTGTGTTTATAGTTATGTTCACTAACACAAGGCCAGCTTTGTAGATTTCTTAATACTTCTTTACAGTATAGATGCACTTGCCTGACAGTGTCTTCACCTTGATACACATGGCAAGATAGAGTTGAAATTTGGGAGTGACAAGTAGACTTAGGCTGTAAGTGGTGCATTCTGTGATTATTTTCCTTTATTTGTAGTGTTACCATTCATGTCTGCAGATTATTTCTTGTACCAACAGCTACAACTTTTAGTCCTCTACAGGATTAACATCTTAAATTTAACCTAACTTAGTGCATCCATACCATAAAGATTAACAAATTTCCTATTTCAAATCTCCTTTTATTAATTTGTTTTACAATAGCTTATACATTTTTCTCTCCTTATATAAAATTAGAGACTTTACACTACTTATAGAGATTAAATATCCCTCATATACTCATGTGCTTCATAATATCAGTTTGTGCATCATCCAATTCCTTATGCAACTAGCATCCAATCTCCTGTACAGCTTGTCTCCTGAGGGTTGTACCTTTCTTTTGAATATATTACTCTGAAATGCTGCAATACTAGTGCTTTTTAGTCAATAAAAGTACACTACATATTTATATATAAAATAGTTCTCATAAAGTCAAACTTATATAACATTCTATCAAGTAGAACAAATGACCATTTAGCAATACATGAAGTATAACCAAAATTGTTTTCCTGAAAGATGACTGGGTTTTACATTCTGTTCTTCAAGTAAATAAACCTATTTCTTGCATAGTGTTTCTTTTCTGTCATTTTACCTTCTGTCTTTCATTCATACTCATGTAATCAATACTCTTGATTCCAAAAGCTGTTTAGGATGCAAGGGTGTATGGGTAATAGAAAGGAAAAAAATAAAAATAAAAATCTGACTAAATTTCAACTACCATAACACCAAAAAAGAAAAAGAAAACATTTATGCAGTGCATCTGCTAGATGCTATAAGCAAAGCAACTTCTATACATCCTGTTTTTCCACCTACTTATTGATGTACAACATCCAGGATTTTTATGAATCATGACAAAACCTTGAATGCTCACTTATGTTCACTCTAAAAGTCAAGTTTCTATCTTGTATAAATTACCAGGATAGTTAATTACATATGCTTATGAGCTATAGACTAAAGGCCACTATAATCACCTGAATTACTGAATTTCCATAATAAATTGAATACATTGCCTCCGTGCCTCCGGTAAATTTTGAAATGAGGACCACACAGAGAAAGAGAAAAACTAAAGTACTGTCTTACAGAGCACACAAAACAACACTGTCAGCCATAAAAATAATCCCTAAAAAGTGAAGGTTAGCCCATATTCACTTCTCAAAATAGCTTAAAGTAAATATTGAAATAATGACCACACAGAAGTAATAGCAGTAAAGAACAAAGAAAACAAAACTACTTGGTGTAGAAAACAATGTGAATGAAAGGCCACAATCACTTCTCAAAGATAAGCTACATCTGCAGTGGATCTCTATGTATAGATATATATATATGAGGCACAGGGAGTAGACTCCCTATGCCTCGGATAGACATCAAACTTTTATCCTTTTGTAAACCACCATGGTGAATTACCATCAAATAAGGAAACAGTTAAAGCTCCACTTTGCTAAATATTGTCAGTGTTTACACAAACCAGCAAATGTGAAACATTCCATTTTCTAGAAAATTCCTTCTGATGATTTTTCCTTTTTTCAGATCCGTCTCTTGCTTATTTTTTTATCTTTTTATTTTATGATTTTTTTTTTTACAGTATTCTGATATTTTGTATTTTCTGCTAAACACCTGCATGTCACCAATGTCCAGGCGGCATTATTTTAAAAAATGCCAAATCTTTATATTTGCCGGTTTGTGAAAAC